GGAAGTGAGAGAAAGGAGAGGGGGGTCCAGGAGCAACTTGGAGTCCTCATGACCCCCTTGCCTATACATTTCTGAAGAGCGGGATGCAGTGTTCAGAAACTCGGCCCTCCTCTGGGGTCCTTGGCTCTGGGGGCACCACCATTAGACTGGGGGCTGCTCTGACTGTTTCAGCCTCCCCTCAGCCCCCAGGTTGGGCCCTTGCCTCCAGGTGAGAGAAAACTCCCATGCATCCCCCCTACCTTCCCCCTCCACACACACACACACACACACACACACACACACACACACACACACAGGGGGGAAAGGGGTGATTAAGAATCAGCTCCAGGACAGCGGGGGGGGCCCAGGCCTAGTGTGAGGGGCTTAGAAAGGGGTGGAGAGGCCTCAGGGTGGGCTTGTCTGTATTCTCTTGGAGCCGCCCCCGGCGTCAGGGGCCTGGGCCAAAAGGCCCTGCTTCTCCCTCCGCCTCCTTACCTGGGTCCCCTCTGGGGCTTAGTCCCTAGCCTGTCCTCCCCAGGGAGCATGAGATGTGAGACGGGATGTGCCCTGGATGGTAGGGGCAGGGGTGGAGCCGGCCTGCTTTGGTTGCAGCCACCTGAGAAGAGCAAGCTGTGGCTGCTTCCTGGTCAGCCAGTCTCTCCAGGGCTCACGTGGGGACCAAGCTAAGCTGGTGACACCAAGCTCAACAAGGGCTGTGCAGTGTCCTGCGGACCTCGACCCTGTCCCTGAGGAGCGCACCGGGAGGGGTCGCTGATCCGGGTCACTGATTCAGGGTCCTGCAACGCAACCCCCTCTCCATATCTAGGTTATGACTCCCAAAGGGGCCTCCCCACAGGAGATCTGGATGGGTGAGAGCCTGGGTCTCCTGCTTCCAGAACTCCTCAACCCTCCAGAAGGCGGCGTGGAGGTGGACATGCCAGGTTTGAAACCAAGCTCTGCCACTTGCCTGCTCTGTGACCTTGGGTAAGTCACTCATTGTCTCTCGGACTCAGTGTCCTTGTCTATAAAATGGGGATGGTGATCCAGTTATCCCTCGCCATTAGGTTCATGGGAGGATTAACATCAGGGCTGCATATGCAGGTCCTTCGCTCTTACTTTCAGAGAATTTGAGAAACGGCCAAGTGCCAAGAGTCCAGAGGGCAAGGCGGCAGCTCCTGGCTGCCTTGAAGGGCTCCCCCAAGGCAGAAAGGGAAGCAGAGGCAATGAGGGCTGGGAAGGAGGCTGCTGAGAGGAAGGTACAGCAATAGATGAGCAGAGTAGCAGGTTTTATTCTGGGCGACCTGATCCCAGATACCCTCATCCCACCCCATCCCATCCTCATCTCTCTGCTTATTCCAAGCCTGGGGTCCACTGGGACAGGAGCTGGAGTCAGAAGGAAGGATGTGGCCATGGGTCGTGGCTGCTCTGTGAGTGGGGAGAGAAGGGAGCATGAGGCCAGGGTTGGAACTGGAGCGGCAAAGAGAAGAGAGAGTGGGGGTCTGCGAGGACCAGGCCCCGGTTCTCCTGCCTTCCCCACCCTGACCCTCTGAGTCCAAGTGCTTGGCACTGGGGCCCACACACCTGGCACTGCTGAGCACCCCCCACCACTGCCTCGGAGGGGCAGACAGGTCTGTGTGCCCTTTCCCATCCGCCCCTCTCACCTGCCCCAGCCTTGAGATGGAGGCCACCTTACTCCCAGAAAAGAGACTGGCACTGCCCAGCCGGACCCACCTGTGTGGGCCCTCAGTGCTGGTCCAGGATGAGGGGCACCCGGGCGCTGTCCACTTGCGGGGGCAGCCGCTCGCCTGTGCGCACATTGAACATGGGCAGGGTTGAGAGTGGCCGGGGCACCTCTCGGCTAGCTGCCATCTGTCGCAGCTCCTCTGTATTCCCGCGGATGGTGCAATGGTGGACCATCTGGATACTGGGGACACAGGGCCAACAGAATCATCAGCCCTGGGAGTCAGCACCCACATTGGGGTCCAGCCTGGCATCATCTCTGAGCCACCCTGCAGTCTTCCCCACCTACACTGTGTGGGGAGACACACACGGGATAGGTGGGGGAGGACAAACAGGAAGTTCTATGGTGTCAGCTTAGTGTCCAGTGACTGAGGCATGGGGTCTGGGTGCAGACATCCTGGATTCAAAGCTATGTGTCCTTTGCAAGTTGCTTAACCACTCTTTGCTTCAGTTTCCTCAGCTGTAAAATGGGGATAATAATAGAACCTACCTCCTAGGATCGTTACGGAGATTAAATGAGAAAATGCAGGCTGGGTGTTTAGAAAAGTGCCTGGCACATGGTAAGAGTTCCTGAGATACTAAGACATGAATAGATACCTACAGTGGTATTTATTGCCAGAAGCCAGTGTTTGCTGGGCTCTATATTGTTTTTATATTCTGATGGTGATCCCCTGTGTCCCTTCTAGCAATCAGTTCCCTCTTCTAATATTCTCTCCCAGCACCGAACCTCCCTCCCCTCCCCGTCATCCCCATCTTAGTCTGGCAAATCTACCTCCTCCACCTTTTCCTAGCTTTTGCCCAAGTTCTTTCCTGCTGGGTTTTGACTGCCTATATTTTGGACCCTCAGACCTGGGCTCCACTCTCTCTGTAACTTGACCCCCTCCCACCCTGCCCCAGGCTGTCCCCAGCATTGCTTAGCTCCAGACACACACAGAGTCTTGCTTCCTGTCTGTGTTTTGGACCAAGGCTCCTTGAGGCTGGAATGAGGTCCCACCCTCACCAGACTGGAAGCCCCAGCAGCGCCCAAAGGACTGACTACCACACCCTTTAGTAAGTCCTACCTGAGCTCTAACTCCAGTTTCCCCTAAGAAGGCTGAGCCTCGTTCTCATCTGACATTCTCATGGGCTTGCTTTCTGCTGTCCAGGAGCAACTTTAGTTCGTTTTGAGAAGTAGGGTAGCACAGTGGTTAAGCAGGAGAACCTGCTTTGGGTCTGAGTGTGAGTTCCACTGCTTACTGGCTGTGTTACCCTGTGTAAGTTACTTAACCTCTCTGTGTCACCATTTCCTCGACTGTAATGCAGTTGTTGTATGAATTAAGTGAGTTGATGCAGAAAAAACATTTACATCTACTGGTCAGCATGCAGCAAAAGATAGCTATTATTGTGGGGAGACTTCCATTGCTATCAATATCATTGGTGTTGTTTTATCATAGTAGGCCCACTGATAAACTTGGCCTCCAGTGGAAGGATGTTTCCGAGCCCTTTTACATGAACCCACCCACATTTGTGGGCTCAGCCTGGAGACCTTTTCCCAGACTACCTGGTTGCTGGGTCAGACAAACAACAGGGACTTTTCAGTACGGACAATAAGAACTGGTTTTCTTAAAGGGGTGGGGGCCCCAGGCAGGGTGGAAGCAATCCTACTTACTGCTGGATTACTGATCAAATCCGGGAGGGGGAAATGATCCCTACCCATGCCCATGTCTCAAGTAGTGGACACAGACTCCAGCTAGAGCCTGAGAGATCAGACTACAGAAAAGTTTTTCTAGCTTCTTACTGAATGTGCCGGGGAGGGTCAAGATGAGCTATTGAGTCTGGAATCTGGCAAGCAGAGTTGTCCAAAACACAAGTTTCCATTAGCAGGCAAGGGGAGGCTGAGAGGGGACGGGAGCAGGAAGCGTGTGGCAGCGGAGACAGCCTGGCAGGTAATGATCCCTCCGGTGGGGGAGGCCTTAGTTGATGGGCCTCCTCCCCACTCCCAGCCCCACATCTGGGTCTCATTACTCTAGTAACACACACAGGTGGAAAAACGTTCTGCGGACAGTTTTCCAGAGCAGCAGCAGAAGTCAGACCCGCGGTTCCCTCCTCCGCAGTCCTTCCACATCAGCACTTGGGCAGAAAAACCAACTGGCAGGCATTCTCCCTCTCCACACGCACGCACGCACGCACGCACGCACGCACGCACAGCCCCTTGAGCCCTGATCCTGACACACAGATCACAGGAGAGGGTCATTGGGCTGGAGGTTGGGCTAGAGGATGTTCTGACCAATAAAATCTGACGTAGGTGAAAACAGGCAGCAGAATCACAATTTTGGATCATTTGAAAAATGAACCTGAACAGGCAGAAGGAAAAAAAATAGGATTTTGTAGAAATAAATCAACACAAAATCCAAACCAACAAGGGCTGACACCAGGCGCGCGCACACACAGGGTAAAATTGGTTATTGACTCGAAATTGATGGAGGAAGCATAGTTTCCTGACACCAGCAGAGCTAGAAAGTTGACCCAGGAAAGGCAGACCTGGTGGAAGTAACTGGCCAGAAGAGAATCCCCGCAGTGGCAGGAGACGACACTCATCAAATTTGGCACAGGCCCCCAAATTGAGAAATAAAATCCTCCTTGTAAAATTTACATAGAAAATCACTGATCCCAGTGGGGGAAAATTCTACCAAATAAAAATGAAAGCAGAAAAAAAAGCAAATCTTTTTCATTGCTTTGTGTAAAAAGTTGATCAAGGAACTAAATCGACTTAGATCAAGGAATTACATTTATGTTCACTCGGGAACATTTATTCCCCATAAAAATTCAAAAATGTTGGTATAATTCTGATTCTAAAAATGTACTGTTTAACCCAATGGATTTATATGGTGGGGTCAAAATGGTGGGGTTAAGGCACCCTAAAATCAGCTGGCGAGAACATACACACCCCGTGGGTCCACCTGCTTGGCTCACTCGGCCACAGCCCTTCTTCCCAGGCTCCCTGGCATGTCAGATGCCCACACTACCTGGCGTCTGCCCCACCCAGGGGGGAACAACGGGGCTACTGTGACTCTCACAAGATTCTGGTGACCTCACAATGCTCCCCTGAGGTCACCACAGGGATAACCTTACCACCCCCTGCACCTGAGGCACAAGTCTGCTGAGGCCAGCGTGGGTGATCATCCTTAGCCCTCCTTCTGGCCACCTAGGGCGGGCAAGGCTCCGGCCAGAGCCCTACAAGGAAGCCTCTGAGGGAACCAGGAACTGGGACGCACCTCCTCCACCGAGGAGTAACTCAGGGGAGACTTCCAGCCACCATCCTGGAGGTCCTCGCACCCAGTTCCCTTCACCGACCCCAGGAAGAGATGAAGAAAGACACTTCGCTGCTACCCGCATCTGGGCCCTTGGCCTCAAACAGTGCCCTGGGTGCCGTCCAGCAGGCCAGCACGTCCGGACTCCCGAGCAAGAGAGGGACTGGGTGCCATGCCTCCTCCAAAACCCACCGGAAGCCCAGCATATCCAAAGTGATCCTGGGGGTCATGGTGAGCAAGGGGGCGCGCAAGCGCGTGTCCCTGGCTACCCTGAGGAAGGCCGTCGCCACCAGTGGCTACAACATGACCCGCAGCGCCTGGCGCTTCAAGCGAGCACTCAAGGGGCTGGTGGACAAGGGCATGCTCAAGCAGGTGACAGGCAAGGGGGCCACAGGCTCCATCTTCCTGGCCAACAAGCATGCCTCCAAGTTCAAACCCGAGGCAAAGAGACGGCAACAGCAGCGGCAGCGGCAGTCGGGGCAGCGCCGGCCTGGGCAGCGCCGGTTGCCCATGGGCTCCAAGCAGGGGCACAAGAGGCTCGCCAAGGGGGTTCGCAGGGCAGCCAAATGCTGCCGCAGTTAACCAGGAAAGCTGGGCGAGCAGGGAGGGCTGCCAGCCCCGCCACAGGCTCAGTGCAGTGGGGATAAAAGGAGCCTAACATTTCACACCTGCCTCCTGGAATCTCTGGGGTTCAAGGGAGAGGGACCGAAAGAGGTCTGGGAGCACAGAGGACAGGTAAGGCCATGGGTGGGGAAAACCTGGGCAAAATAAGAGTGAGATAGATTTGGGAAGGGCTGGAGGGATTGAAAGCACCCAGATATTAGCTGGTCCAACCGCATCATCTTGCAGGTGAAGAAACTGAGGCCAGAAAGAGTCACAGTAACTGTGTGGCAGAAAGCAGCCTAGAACCCAAGTGTCTGACTCACAGCGAATCGTGGTTGTGTGTGTGTGTGTGTGTGTGTGTGTGTGCGTGTGTGTGCGCGCGTGTGCACGTGCACGCACTGGAAGCCTTTTAAGTTGCTTTCTAAAGTTGCTTCTCAAACCCTTTCTCCCAGGGTGGCAGCAGATCCCTGAAGCTTGGCTACGTCCCCTCTCCTGTCCCACTTTAGACTCCTCCATGGAGACCAGAAAATGAGAAAGCCAAGCCAGGCCAGGTTGGGCCCAGCGCCCAACCAGCCGAGGGCTGGAGCTCACAGGCCAAGGGTAGCTTCGTCACCCCAGAGTAATTTCGTTTGTCTGCTGCTCATGGAGGTTGGAGGGTCCAGCCTGATAGTCTAGGAGACCTCCCACTCAGCCCCCAGATTTCCCCTACTCACTCAGAGGTGGCCAGGTCTCTCTTCAACCTGGAAAAACAAGGGAGGGGATTAGCTATTATCCACAACCCCTCCTGGTGCCAGGCCAGGCAAGGGGCCCTTCCTCCCTTCCTGGCTGAGGACTCTGCTCCCTGAGGGATCTGGGTCCCCACGTGGCACAAGTGCCACAAGGAATCCCACAACGTGAGCACCAGCCCCAGTGCCCTCCCTGCCCTCAGCCCCCACACTCACCGTCCCTCCCGCCGGCAGCACATAACGTAGGCCAGCAGCAGGGTGAGCAGCAGGGCCACCAGCAGGGGCACCAGGAGCGTGACCAGGGCGTCGGTCAGGAATTCTCGGGCTGTGGCCTCGGTGGGTGGGCAGAAGAACGGGTCGTGCTCCAGGATCCCATCACCTGGCGTGGGTACCTCGTCTGCCGGCTCTGGCACTGACTTGTCCACCTGCTCAGAGAGCCCAGGGCTGACCCAGGAGTGGATGGCCAGACACAGAGAACCTCAGGGCACAGGGCAGGAGTTCTGGGGCCACCCCGCTCCATGCAACTGCAGGGATTCCTCCTGCCTGGCCTCCCCCAGCTCATGTGACCGAACAGAACAAGCACTGGTCTAGGTGCCAGGAAAGAAATTCTAGGAGAGGCAGGACCGCACAACGGTTAGAGCACAGCTCTCATGTCTGACTGCCTGGGTTTGAATCCTGTTTCAGACAAGTGCTATGCTGCAATGACTTACCTCTAGGTGCCTCGGTTTTCTCATCTGTAAAGTAGGGATGCTAATAGTGGTACCTGTCTCCTGGGTGGTTGTGAGGATAAAACATGTTGATTGCATAGTGCATTGCCCATGGCAAGTGCTCAAGAATGTTGATTACCAGTTCCTGCCTGTGCTGTCGGTCAAGTCACAGGAAGGGTTCCTAGCCCTGGGAATAAGATCTCTAGGGACCCTAGACCCCTCAGCTCAATATCCCAAAGAGCAGTAGTGAGCATCTTTGGTTTATAACATGGGGGTGAGAGCTATCTGTCCCTTATTTTAGGCCAATTTGCTGTGACACCTTAGAGGAAAATAGAGCTGTCACACAGAGGCCCTAGGTGGAGAAAGGAGTTTGGAACCATCCTGTGGGAGTGATTGTTCTAGCTGTTCCGTTGGGCACAGCTGGGGCTCCAGGAGCTGGTGATCCCTTGTCTGGATTATGGGCTCTGTTGCCCTCTTGTGGGAGAAGGTAGAACATGTGTGTGCGCACGCGCGCGAGTAGATAATTGAAGAAACAGGGAAATGGGATGGGATGGGGATGGAGGAGACCGTGATGGGGGTCATGCCCCGCCCCTACCCCTAGAACCAGGGTCCCTCCTCACCAACAACACGTTGCACCAGTCAACTCGGAAGTGAGGTGCCAAGGTGTCATAGCAGGACAGCAGTGGAGGCTGGCCCTGGGCACAGCGAGCTTGGCTGTCCGGGGATGCCACCATCTTCAGGCAGGTGGAGAAGGGTGAGGAAGAGCCCACCTTGATGTATACCCTGGGTCCAGACAGAAACCACTATCAGAAAATTGGGGGTATCACTGGGCACTGGAGATTTGAGGGTTATGGCCACCCTGAGATCTGGGGTTATGGTGAGAGTACACAGAGCACCCATCTTCTGGGGCCTTGGCCCCCAGGAATGTCCTTTGATGGATGGATCTATCATGTCCTTATGGGCACCAGGAAGTGCAGAGTTCAGGGTAACTAGGGTTTGGGCCCAGGAAGGGCAAGAGGGAGGAGATGAGGGGGTGGCCAGAAGGAAGTGGACAGTGATGTGATGCTGGGAACTAAAGATGCGCACGGTGAGCGTGCAAGTGGTAAAGCCCCACTTGGAAGTTAGGGAGACCCATGTTCTATGCCCACCACCTAGACAAAAGGCAAGCTGCCCCCTCCTCCAGGAAGCCCTCCTGGGCTGCATGCCTACCCTTCCTTGCGGCCCTCGATAGGAAGGGGGACTCGGCCCCCACGGTCCAAGGCAGAGGTGATGTTGAGCAGCTGGAGTTCCCCTGGCTCCCAGAGCCCCCCCAAGGCTGTGAGGAAACGGCCGGCAGGTGTCGAGGGCAGCACCTCCTCTACATCATGGCTGCGCACCAGGAACTCAGCCTGGTATGGTAGCAGGGGGCCTGGGAGGGCCAGGTGGGCACCTTAGGCCGCACCCAGCCCCCAGCCCTGTGTGGATCCTTCCTAAGCCTCCCCCCATCCAAGCTGGTCCCCGTATCCCCTCAGCTCCCTTCTTTCCTCCCTAATACCCCCTATATCACAGGCCTCAAACGCCCTTCCTCCACACCCACAGCCTCAATTACTCGCCCAAGCCTCCACCGCAGAGCAGCCGAGAATACGACTCCAGAGTCTTTCCAGGGTGCCCTGCTCCCCACTACTCACTTCTACACCCGCCTTCCAGGGGAGATCCCCCAAGACTGGCATTGGTGGGGTAGGGGTGGGGCGGGGCTGGCCGTACCTTCTGGGTCTCCAATCAACAGCACCAGCCTCTGCCGGGTGGTGTCAAAGCTGTCCCGATTGTAGGCTGTGACCTGGAGGATGGGGTAGAGGGCTGAGAGGTGGGGTTAGGAGAGAACCTAGCCCCTAACCCCGGGTGGTGCGGCTGGGCCTGGCGGGAGAAGACTGAGATAGCCCACCAAATTAGAGGCCTGTGAGTCACGTAAATGAGTGAACGCCGGGTCCCTGTTGCATGCGACACAGCCCACTGGGGCCCCTACTGGTACCTCGATGACCTGGCGTCCGCGATCTGCTGGGGTGGCGGTGCCATAGAGAAAGCCAGGCTGGTGGGGGCTGCGCTGGGCGTAGCGGAGCCACCTGGGCAGGTCTGGGTGTCCCTGGAGGTGGGCGTGGTAGGTGATAGGGACGGTGGCTGGGACAGCTGGTGGAAGGGAGGAGAGGGGATTGGAGACACAAGAGGAGCCTTCACCAGCCCTGGGCCAGGCGCCCGCAGCCCACCCCAGTGCCCCTCAGGCCCCTCTCACAGACGACGAGCTCAGGAAGGTGCAGGAAGTTTTCGCGATCCAGGGTGTGTACAAAGACGCGGCCCACGAGCGGGTGCAGGGTGGTCTGCTGGGCCTCGGTGTGCCCCAGCCCTGCCAGGAGACCTGTGGGGACCCACGACCCCCAAACATATGGCCCAGCCTCAGTCCTGGCCAGGGAATAAGTCCCCTTTTCCACCCAGCCCCTAGTGGCCCTGAGGGAGTGGAGAAATGTGTGAGAGGAGGCAGATGGATTTCTGGCTCCCAGGCAGGATGGGTTGGGGCCCTGGCTGTGCCGCACACTTTAATCAGTGACAAGACCCAGACCTTAGTTTGCTTTGGATTCACGGAAGCCCCTCACTCCTCATTTTAGGCCTCCATTGAGGGTCACAATGGGCAGGGACTGATGTCTGGCTGAAAGGGGTGCGGGGTGTGTGAGTGGTGTGTCTGTGTGTGTGAGTGTGTGTGTGTGTTAAGAGCACTTGGAAAAGACCCCCAAGCTGACTGTGGGAGGCTGGAGGGGGTAGGAGGGAGGGAGAGGTAAGGACCCCTTGGAGGAGGCAGGTAGCCATTCTGGGGCCCCCACCCACCTCCCCTAACGTACAGAGGGGAGAGGGCCCACACTAGAGGCCACTAGGAGCTGAGCAAAGGGGAGTCTGAGCCCAGAGCCCCAGGGAGAGGACCTGCCCCAGTGACCCTCACACTCTCCCAGGGCCAAATTTAGCCTGGACCCAGAAAGAAGCCAGCCCATTAAAGGGCCCATGGCGCTCTGGGCCTGTGCAGTTAGGCCCAGCCTAGCCTAGGACACCTTGCCCCTCAGGGTTCCCAGCCAGCCCCCCATATCCCAGCTCCCAGCCCCAGTTCCCTAGAGCCCCATCGGTTGTGGAATTTACACCCCAAAATCCCTCTGGCCTCTGCCTCACCCCGACCCCCAACCCCTCCCCTGAGGAACTTCTCACCCCCCCCAACCTGGGCCTCTCCCCTGAAGAAGACCCCAACTTACCCACAAGGAGAGAAATCCAGATTAGCACTGCTGCCATGGCTGTCCCAACCTGGCCCTGCCTGTGAGTGACAGAGACAGGAGCAGGGAGCAGGGAGGAGGGAGGAGGGAGGAGGGAGGAGGGAGGGGGAAGGACGGGAAGATGTCCCAGAGCAGCTGGGCTCGGCTTCAGCCAGCGGGACCCTCCCCCTCCCCACCCAGAAAGGCACTAAATCTAGGGTGGACACCCTCCTCACAGGATGAGGTCCCTCCAATAATCCCCTTCTTGGGGCCAGAGTATATTTTCTAAACCACCAACCTGACTGCCTGAGGCCCCCCTTAAAACCCTAATGGCTTCCATTGCCCTGAGCTCCACAGCTGCTGATGGCTTTCAGGCCCTGCCTGTACCTGGCCATCCTGTCCAGAATCCCCTCTCTTCCACCTTACCCCCTCCCCGCACACACACACTACCCCAGGCTTCTGCCCTGCCTCCCTCTGCTGTCCCACAACCTGATAATCTCTCCTGAGTATACACCCCTTGGCACGAGCTCTTCCCTCTGCCTGGAGCTCCCTTCCTGCCCTAATCCTACCTTTCATCCTACCTTCTACTCACCCTTCAAGACGCAGCACAGGCATCCTCTCCTCTCTGAAGCCTTTCTGTCCTCCCTCCTGTGTGGCACAGCCAACCACACAGTGTTGCGGGGTGGCCTGGGATCTTATGATCTTTGCATCCCTGGACCTAGCCCAGGGCCTGGCAACTAGTAGGTGTAGGGGGCGAGGTGACAGCTTCATGAACAGCACATGAGGGCACCCATTCACCCAGCCCTCTCCTCAGACTAGGCACCCCCAGCATGCCCCCCAGGTCCGGGAAGAGAGAGAGCCTTGGACAGAACCAACCAGGTAGGGACAGGGAGTAAAGGAGGCCTACAGGCCTGGACATGAATCCCAACTTGACCCATTCACTGGAGAATATGGCCTTGGAAAAGTCATCTGCCCTCTCTAGGCTCTGTTTCCACAGCTACAAAGTGGCAAGAACAGTGCTCTCCTCTTGGTGTCCTTGTGAGGAATCCACAAAATCATGAATTCAGCACATATTTACAGAGCACCTGCTATGTACCAGGCACTGAGGGGGCAGAGATGAGCAGCCCTTACTCAGGTGGAGCTCTCATGCCAGCAGGTGATGACAGCTACCCTCTGCCTGCTACTATGCTGAAGGTTTTACATAGATTTACATATAGTAACTCATCCCATCCCCACGGCAGTTCCATGAAGCAGGTATTATCTTTGTCCCCATTTTACAGATGAGAAAACTGAGGCATGAAGGGTGTATAACTTTCCTGAGGCCACACTATAGACAGCTGAATGCATGTAAAGACCTCAGCCCGGTGCCTGACTCAGTCCAGGATGCCGCCAATGTCCTTCCCGGTGGGGTACCACTTCCCCTCCCTTCCTGCATCTGCTAAAGGATCTCGGTACAGGTGTGATGGAAGCAGTGTGCCCTTCTTTCCCTGGACTACCCATTCAGAACAAGCAGAGGGGCACTCTCCCCAGATGCCCTGAGAAGGAGGCAGGGGACTGTGGGTGCCAGCGTTCCAAAATCCTCGGTACCTGTGTGAGCATTCTTCCTGGGCCTTGAGACATAGGGGGTTGCCACCTCACCCCCATAGGCGAATGCCCCAGGCAAGGACATCTGGGACCTGCCCTGAGTTGGCCTGAGAGGGAGGGTGTTGGTCTGCAGATTGGGGTGACCGGTGGGCA